GGATCAAAAATTGCACAAGGCTGCAAGAACGAAAGGTTGAGGAAGAACGGTTAATTTCAATTTCTCAGAATAGTATAATTTAGCAGCGAAAAGCAATATGTAATAAAAAAATTTTCTCAAATTTCAATAAAAAATACGTAGGGCAAAAATGCATCCCTTCGTGTTATTACGTTCTTTCGACGCGGTCAAAAGTCAAAAAAAAAAAAAAAAAATAATCAAAAAAAAGATCGATCATCTACATGATACGTGGCATGATCCCATTGGGTGAGGTCACATGAGGCGACAGAGAAATGGCGACGATTAGAGGTCGTAGACTTTTATAGTCCTTCGCTTCGCTTCAGACAATTATTTGTATTTTCCAATCATCTTTTCTTTAATTGATGAAAATATTCCTGAGTACTTGTTTTTTACTATTATTATGATTGATTATAGATGTTGTTTGAGGTTGTAGTATATGATATTCAGCAAAATGACTTTTTACTATATTAATTGCATTTGTTAATTCTTCTTCTATGGTAAATAAAGTAAGTTTTGAACTCAGATCTAATATTGTAGCTACTATGGTAGATTAATCTACTATTTTCCAATACTGATCGATTTTTTGAAGCATTGATGATGCTAACTCATTCTGACTAAAATCTAATTTTCTAATATAATCGTTTAGATATTATTGAATTCCAAGAAATAAAAATCTAACATCAAAAATAGTAGAATAGGAAGAAGCCAAAAGCAAGACTGTTACTTTTTTTAATAGTTCAAGTAAAGTAAGAATATCCTATTTATTTTATAAAATATATTAATTTTTTTTTTAAAATAATAATAATAAAATCATATTAGCTTACATTTATTTTTATCTATTCTTGTATATCTGGTATCAAATTTCCAATATCCCGATCTGTTACAGCTAACATTTCAATAAGGTGTAATATTTTTTGAAATTTTATAATCATATAGTAAGTATTATTCCATCTAGTTTTGATATCTAATTGTAGTTTATAATATTGTAAGTTTTCTACTAAACATAATTCTCGTAATTTATTACATCTTTGAGGTGAATTTTTAATTTTTTTCATTAGTTTACAGATTTTGATAATTTTATTATCAATGATTTCAATTCCTTGTTATGCTGAATATCTATAATGCTGAAAAGATTGATTATCAAGTTTATATGCAAGTTCTTTTACTATTGTTTTTTCACAAATTAATATTACTGATTCATTATCAGTAGTTAAAGCTAAAGTTTTTTCAAGAATGTTAAATTTTGCCAAAACAGATTTTATTGTACTTGCTATATTAATATCAGTATAATGAATAGTAAAAGAAACAATATCTAATAAAAAGTGTTACAACTTTTAATTATTATCAATATGGTGGATTGTTAAGCTAAAATATGTATTATTATTGAATGTTAGGATCCATATATCTGCTGTTAATGACAATTTACCTGGAATTGCATTTAAATCATATTGTATATTATCACGTTTTTTTTAAAATAATCTACAGTTAACTCTTATTATAACGAACTCTATGTCCTAGACCTCAACTTTGCTATAAGGTTATAGTGAAGATTTTAAGAGATTTGATTGGCCAATTCACTATAACGAGAGTATTTTTATTATATTTATTCAAAAAATTTATTATATCAAAGTTCGCTATAACAAGAGTTGACTGTATTACTAAATTTTTAATAGTTGTTTTATTTGAAACTTGATATCGAAAATCAAAAGTATTAATTATTTTTATAAATCGAGGATGTTCAACTGATTGAAAAGGTTGTGCATCACCAATTATCCACTCAGTTATTATAATATCACGTTCTTTTTTTCTTTATTAGACCAAGGATCGGTTATTTAAAGTTCAATTTGCTTTGATTTTTTTCAACATTTTAACATTATCTATTTTAATTTTATGTACAAATAGTAAGTGTCATTTTAAAGTTGAAATACCAGTATCTTTTTCAAAAACACTTTGACATTTGCAACAAACTGGACGTTCTGGATATTGAGATATTTGATCATTAAAATACTTCTATGTTAGTGAAGTTCAATGAGATTGAAATAAGTCTTCATTACTATTGTTATAATTATCTTCTTCACTAGATTTATCTGATTCATTTTGATTTTGTTTATCTTGTTCAAAATCGTAACTTGATTCAAAATTATAATCTTGTTCAGAATTATAATCTTGCTCAAAATCATAATCCAAAAAAAATTCAAATTCATCAAAATTATAATTTGAATATTCAGTCATTATTACTTAACAGCTTAAACTTGTAAAAAAAAAAGTGTATTTAATAAAAGGAATAGTTTAGTAAACTTTGTATTTTTAAACAAAAAAAAACTTTTTGAAAAAAATAAAAGAAAACTAAATGCGCTATTATTAAAGAAATTTCAAAAATAAATAATGTGACATTTCCTAATTTATTTTCTATTAATCTCTGAATATTGAATTATTCATTGTTAAATAACTTTCTTTTGAATATTATAACATTAACATTTATTTTTTTTTTTAGAACATTTTTAAAACATTTTATATTAAAAAAAAGGTGGTACAACTTACATATAAGTTGTATAACATAAGGTTGTGTTCAAAAATAACTTAATTTAATAAATCTATGTTAAGATCGATTTGAAACTGTTCTAGTTAAGTCCTAAAAATAGGGACTTGATCCTATTAAGACTAAGTTTCAAGACTCAGTCCTAAAGTCCAGAACCTGAACTTTACCTTACCCTAATTTTACTATAAAAAAATAAGACTAACCAATTTTATATAGTAAAATACTAATCTTTGCTATACAATAACTTCTGATCAGATGGTCTGATTTGAACAAAATTTAGCTTATTGGAATTATCATGCAGAGAAAAATCAGAATTCAATATTAATTTTATGATAATTAGTCTGCTTAAAAAGTTTTCTAATCATTAAGTACTATTTTTAATGTAGATCTTTACATTATACAAAATTGGCATTATTAATTGGCTAATAAATTTTTATAGGATGTTTTCCAAAATGTAAGAATTAAAATGAATCAAAAATTATATTTCTAGCATTTGTAGTTAATAAGTTATAAGCGTTTAAAGCTAAAAATAAATTGTTATATTTCTTTTGTTAACCACTATACTTTAATTAATTTTTTTATAATATATGCCAAAAATATTGTATCACAAAATTTTTATTTATCAACAGTTTTTTTTTAATAAGTCATTTATAAAGTTCAAAGTAATTTGAATATGTAATAAAGGAAGATTCAGACTTTATGTTAATAAAATTTTATATGTTATATGATTATTGAATCTTGAAATATTAAAGTTTAAAAATTTTAAATAGTGTGATATAATAATTATGGAAATCATTATATGTATAAAGCAATACAGTTATTATTATCATCATTAAATCCTACATAAAGTAATATATGATTGGTTTTTATTGAAATGTTTAATAATTGAATCAATATCAAAAAAAAGATCAGCATCAGCTATTTACAATAAATTAAAAAAAATATTAGGATGATCATTTAAATTACATTTTTATAATTTCTTTAGTATTAAATCTGTATTATAAAATCACATTATTTAAAAATAATGATTTAGCTGAAATTATTAATAATTTATAAAAACTATATAATATATATTCTCCCTAAATAATCAAAAAAATTCAAAAAAAAGTTATTATCTTAGGATTACTTTCTTAATTTGCTTAATAAAAATAATTATCAAAGAATGACATGTGATTAATTAGATAGATATCTAAATTCTCCAGTAGATAGTGATGTCAATCCTTTAATTTGGTGGAAAATTCATAAAAAAGATTATCTTATATTATCTCAAATAGCTAAAAATTATTTATCAATTCAAGTGATATCAGTTTCATCAGAAAGAGCCTTTTTAATTTCAGGCTTAACTATCTCAAAAGTTAGAAATAGGTTAAATTCTGAAACAACAAGAATAATTATTTGTATAAAGTATTAAATTTTAGAAAAAAAATAGTAGAAAATATATAAATTTATATTAAAATTGTAGAGATGGATAATAAGACAAAATTATTTTGATCAAAAGCTTGATAGGAATAATATTTTAGTAATAATAGATTACAAAAAAAGTTTTTTTGTATAATTCGACCTTATTTTTGGTTTATTTTATTATAATAAAATTTTAAATTGGGAATGTTATGTCACATGATTTTTTAGAAAAGAAGAAGAAGCAAGTTGGATTAATCAGAAGAAGAATTTTTATTCAAAATAATTTATTAGGCATAAAGTTTCGAAATTATTTAACTTAAAATAGAACAGTTTATTAGAAAAAGTATTTTTGTGAAAAAGAAAATTTAGTTTATCAGTTGACGTAATTTCTTTAATTATTTGAAGATTTAAAAAAAGTAGGAATGTTAAAATCTAGTCTAGTCCTAGTCTAGTCCTAAACCTCTCAGTTCTAAAGAAGACCTGGAAATAGGACTTGAGTCCTAAAACTGAATTCTAGGACCAGATTCTAAGACTGCAGTCTTATAGAAATTAGGACTTGTAATCTTAGGACTCAGTCTTATAGAAATTAAGACTTGCAATCCTTAGATTGTGATAAAAAAATAATTGTTCAAGAAGAATAATGACAAATTATTTGACTTGAATGATAAAAAAAAAATTGTTTAAGAAAAACGATGATGAATCGTTCAACTTAAATGATAAATAAAATTGTTTAAAAAGAATGATGACAAATTGTTTGACTTGAACAACAAATAAAATCATTTAAGAAAAATGAAGATGAATTATTTGGCTTGAAAGATAAAAAATTGTTCAAGAATAATAACGAATAATTTGACTTAAACGATAAAAAAAATTGTTCAAGAAGAATGATAACAAATAGTTTGATTTAAATAATAAAAAAAAATCATTTAAAAAGAATGATGACGAATCATTTGACTTGAATGATTATTTTCTATAGAACCATAATTTTAGAAGTGCAAGTTCTAATTACTATAGAATCACAGTCTTAGGACTGCAAATCCTAATTTCTATAGGACCTTGATCCTATAATTCAAAGGACTTTGAACTGGATTAGACTTTGTGAGACTGTTTAGGATCTAGTCTCATAGGACCTTTTAACATCCCTAAAAAAAAGGCTCAAAAAAAGAAAAAGGATGCTAAATATATTTTTTTTTTATACATCAGTTTTCACACTAATAAAAGAACTCAATTTCTTTTAATTTTGCCTAAGATTTTACAATATTGTATATATAAACTCTGATCTAAATTTCAGTTTAGACTTCAATTTCAAAATCAGTCTACAAACTGATCCAGTTTAATTTTACCCTCAAACTGATAAAAATCGGACTGAAATTGAACTGAACTGTTAATATCCCTATTGGCAACTGTATTAATTATTCAGAATGAAGCGAAAGACTATATATTATTAGACAGTTTATAAAAATTAAGATCACATAGCGATGTCTAGATATCTACACGCATCACGTCTAATTGAAAATTTTGTGTTAATAAAAAAAACATAAACATAAACAAGATAAAAAAAAATAAATTTGTAAAAAATGTTACGAATAAAAAATAAAGTTACATATGTTATGAATGGTATTACATGTTATAAAGATTTACTTTGAATTTTTTATTTTTTGTTAAAAAAAAATTACAATATTTTTGTTAGAATTTTAGATCTAAGTTTTGGAACAGTATTATTATACTTTATTGTATATGGCTCAGTTTCTTGGTATCATAGAAATCAAACGTTTTTCTTCATTTAACCTTTCTTTTAACCTTTTGCAGTCTTTAATGCGCTGAAGTCTCTTGAAGTTAAATGGTTTGAAGAGAAGATCTTTGAGGGTATATACTCGAGATGCAGCTACAAAAGTAAGACCTGCGATAAACTCTTTATCACTGAGATCTACTATGGTCTTTTTTAATATAAGACCCTGACTTTTATGTACTATAATTATTTATGCAAGACGAACAGGAATTTGCAAGCGTAAACAAGTATTTCCAGATTTATCAATCCAAGTACATTGAATTGGTACAATTGGTATAACCCTTTTTCCCTCTAAGCTAATAATAGTAGAACTGTTGTAATTGTCAAAAGAGATCAGGATTGCTATAGGAAAAGAAGGCAGTCCTTGATCTTCTTTGAATATTATGTCCTGAATAGTTCCCATAGAACCATTAACTAGCCCAGTTTCAGTCTACAGGTTTATCGTTAACATGACTTTTGCACTTCTTGCCAGTAGTATATGTGCTTCAAGACCATGCACTATATCAGAATTAGCTTTTTTAGCCTCATTGCTACCTGTATGTATTGCTTGAATTTAGCAACAGAAACATTTAGAGATCGAAGTCAATCTATATTTACTGCATTGACTTCAGTCCACTTTGTTAAAATAAATAAGGCATTGGAGAATCTATTACATTCCATTATACTAAGCTTATCTTCAATTTATGTGGTAAGAATTTTCCAATTGTCTATAGTGGATTCTCTATTACACAGTCTTAAGAGAATATCTCTAAAGTCCTATTATTCTTTAGAGTTTCTTAATTGACGTTAAATGATATCAAGCTTATATACCTCTTTAAACTGTCTATATATCACAAGACCACTATTAGATAATGCATCTTTCTTGGTATCAGAATACATAAAATAATCAAAAACAGATGAAAGCTGGTTGAAGTCACTGCATAAAACAATTGACCTTCTGCTAAATAGTTCATTTTTATGTTCAAGAAAGGCTTGCTAAAGCCAAATATCGATTAGAGCAAGCATTTGGTAACCAATCATGCTTTTCTCGTCAACGCATTTTGCATCATTTAACTATTGGTATTGAAAGTGCTGAATGTATTATTATTCCATTAATGTTAAATACTGCAATTCCTGTTAGTGCAAGTACTATTATAGGTAATCCTGATTCAGCTCCAATCATTTCTTTAATTCTACTTCAAATTGCTTCTATTAAATAGGTCTTACCGGTCTCAGCAGTTCCCATTAAGATTATCTTTAAAGGATTATTTTTATGCTCTGCAAGCATACTTTAGTAATGGGATTCTATTTGCTTAAAGATTGTTTTTTGATTATTATTCAGCGTTTGATAATCCACTATCAAGTTTTCTTTTTCAGCATTTCTAGAATCTCTGATTACAAATATATCAAGGCCTAAGAGATCTGTATCAGAATACTATTGCCTCGAATTATTGATCCAGTTATAGTTCTGATTTATATCACAAAATCTTAGGTCAGAGGAGCAATCAAAATTAGTCTTAGACCTATTTCTAAAAGAATCATCCAGTCAGATCAAAATTTATCCCGCTCGTCATTTTCAACTATTTTGTCTTTCTCTTTTTCCTCTTCAATTATTTTACTTTCTGTGAGTGATCCAAGTAGATCAATTGGGTCTGCATTGATCTCTTCAAAAAAATGATTGTATAATGTTAACTACGTGATAATTCTATTTCTGTTAATTATTGCAAATCTCGATGCTGAATGTGAAGAAGAACCTTTACTCTGCAGAATTCTTCCTATTGAGATTCTTTATATAATAGTGATAGATGTGAAAAGATACGTATGAAGTTTTTATTTTGGCATCTTTTCCATTGGTCTTTAATTAATCTATGAGTTAAGTGGAGCCAAAATAACATATAATCCTCAAATTCTGTAAGTTGATCCCAATATATTACTAAAGGTGATTTTTCTATCTAACCTAATTCATTATCAATTGTAAAAGATTTTTCGCCTTCTCTGATACCGCAAATCCATCTCAGTACTTCCTTATTAATATTCAAGAAAATGAATTGGTGGCTTGAATGGTAAAGAGGAAGGCCAAGTAGAATGTGACAGGTTTCTTGAGTAGAAATGTCCTGTTCTCCAACACTGTGTAATAGCAACTTTTAGACTAAAGTAATTATTGGATCTTTCGGTTGACTCTTGTTAAGGATTTGATTCAATATGTCTGAAAAGGCTTCTGATCCTAGTTCTGCTTTACTTGTATACTTTGAAATATATTGTAATGCAGCGTATATACTTAATACTAGTTTTAAGTTCACGTTAGCTTGCTAACCCTACAGCTAAAGTTAGCTATATGGATTAATATACTGATCGTTCCTTGCTATCACAAGCTCTGGTCGCCCATGGTCATTATCCCGCAAGAATGTTTAGTCAACAATCTCTTTAGGATATTCAAACCTACAAAACTGCTTTCCCTCTTTGTTGATTCGAAGATAACATGCAGAACTACATTAGGTATGTCTTTGTAATTTGTTAATTAAATCAATGTAATCTTGCTGATCATTATGTAACTCATTGCTTTTCTTTTGACACAGATGCTATTCAGGAACAGGCATGTTGAGACCTGGATTTATTGTGATAACCAGGTTATCAAGATATTGTATAATCTTACTTATCTTATTTTATTTTCTTTTATTTGTTTCCATTCTATTATAGATGCATTTCTTCTTTTGCTAATCCCATGCACATAAATACTTCTGCAATGCTGCCATTCAAATCAATATCACCAATCCTCTAAATCCCATTGTTTTTTTAAGACATCGTTAAAGAAAATATCAAATCGCTTGTTGAAAAACCAAATCGTAATATGAGAATTGTTAACGATGTTTTGGTGATTATTTTGGCTGAGCTTTCAAAGTTGTTAAATAGAATAAGTTTATAGAGTTCAGGCCAGTGCAAATCAGCAGCACTAAATGTAAAGAAAATCAGGCCTTGTGTTCCAATTTGCTTATCATATCAGAGAGTTCATAGTGCCGCGCATTCTAAAACTGACGAGATCTATGTAAACCTTCGCCAAATCGTATTATTCTATTAGTGATATAGTTATCGTCTTGAATGATTCTTTTTTGAATATTCGTAACAATGATTTGAGAATTGGTAAGGTTTATTTAACGTATATTTTTCCTTTCTATAGTGCCCGTTAACGCATCTGAGAATTTAACGTGAAATATCACCAGCGAGCGTGGTGTGCAAATCTTCTATCTTTATACAAAAGAAGATGTTTGAAATATTCGGCAAGCTTTACATCTCTAATATACTCTGTATAAAGATCTGCACATCCAGTTGGTATAAAGTCAGAAATGTATATGTGATATACCCTGACGTCTTAAATTCGTTAATAGGATTATTATTGATTTGTAACCATATAATAGGGTGATTTTCATTTTGCATTCAGTTAAGAGTATGTTTAATGGCAATATCTTTATGATGTGCTGAGAAAAAGAATGGGACAAAGGTACGTGTAATTATATTATTCTCATTTCATTATCTGATTCTTCAGCAATACTTCAAAGCTGGTCATCAATTGAACCGTCAATTGGTAAAGATCAAAGAACTTCAAAATTAATGATTATATCAGTATAGTAATGATTATTTTCTTTTAACTATATTAATGCATTAGTAACCTTTTTACAATAAACTTTAAAATCTCTGAATGCTTCTGAATTGCTTTTGGATTGATGTCTTATTACAAGTACGTCTAATGACAATAGATGTCGAGGAAGCTTTGTGATAAATTCTTGAACATTTTGAGAAAAGTTGATTATATTTCTACAATACTTAAATTGTTCTCCATAAAGTCTATAGACTAACATTACAGGAAAAACTCTCGCAATTAATATTTTCTCAACCTCTGTGAGGTTCTAAAGTTCATCAGGCACTTCACATGGATTTATATTATTCTCTACTGAGAACTTCTTTGAGGATTTTATTTCTTTATAGTAATGTTAGCATTTACTTTTACAAGTATAATTGTTGAAAAGCTTTCATTGCATATAGGACAAAGCGTATACTTGAATTTATTAACTTTGTCACAAAATTTTTTAAGAAGATTTTGTTCAAATTTACTAAGTATATTAGGCTCAGCATTTATGCCACCTGCGCTATTATCTTGACAAGACTTTTGCTACAGCTGTTTTTATTGTGAATTCAATTCTTGATTTTTATTTTGATCAATGTTCTTCAAATAAGTTCTTTGTTCACAATAATAATTTAAACATTTTTCACATTGCTTATCTGTTTTTATGGCTAATTTTACGCGTTTTCTTTTTTTGTCACATGTAGCATATGTCTCTTTCTTTTCAGCATCCTCTCTTCTCTTTTTGCACTTATATTCACATTGCTTTTCAAGATGTATTTTACGTTGGCTAAGTGTTTCGTTCTCTCTAGCTTTATGCTTTGAAGAGTATCCCGACTTATAAATTTATTATTTTCCATATGTATGCTAAAGAGAAATTTGCTAAAAATTCTATAGTGGCTTGATTTAGTTTTGTTAACTAAACATTGCACAGCATGATCAATGCGTTAAATTACTGTATTTAGAATAATCTTGTACATACGTATTTAATTAATTAAATTTATAATCATTGTTAATAAGCTGTTCACATAATACCGACACCCAATATATTATTACATTTTTATCATATTTTATTTATGATACATTTACATATTATTCTATTTATTCCTATTATTGCTGTATGTACATTCAATTATTATTACATTTAATTTTATTTATATTTCTAATCTAAAACTCGCAACTCTTAACAAAAAATAGTTAATAAAATTTGATAAATATAGTGGTATGAATATTTCGCTCCGGATTTACAATGGTTTCCATTTCCTAGTAATAGGGATGGGAAATTAACGGTTAATTAAGATTTGGTTATTTAACCGTTAATTAACATTATATATGTATTACTACACAATTCTAAATATAACTTTGTAAAAAATTTTAATAAGTTTCCTTTTGTTTTGATTGGTCAACTAAAAATATCCTTTGGTTAATTATCTTTTGGTTAATTAACGGTTAATTAACCTAATTAATATGCAAAAATTTTCTACGGTAGTGTAGTTAGCCATGTGATCCATGATTATATCAATTACGCGTTTTCTTAAATAAATTAATAAATATTACGCGTTATCCATTTTACGATAGAAGAAACGATAGTTCATTTACTTCAACTAAAACCTCTAATGAGGGGAAATACTGAACAAGCAAAAGCATTGAAATCTTCATTACGGGACCTCTTAAAAAACGATGAAGAGTTATGTAAAGAATATGAATTACTAAATACATGGCTTAGTGTCCCTGAGGAAGAGGTGAAAAAAAGAATCTGAAGATCATTGATAAAGGTGGTCAAAGCTATCTTTAAGTACGTTCGCGTTTTACAATATATTGTTTCTCATGGAACAAATTCAACACAACCAATGAATTTTAATAATGCAGCAAAAGAAGAACCGGCAGTATCTACGATAAATAATAATTCAGGAGATTTGAACGACTATGAGAAAATTAACGAACCCTTAGCTCTAAAGGTTTTCGCTCTCAGCGTCTAAGCAAGGTTCATTTACTTAAGCATGTTGAGAGATCCCTCTTTAGTTTTGATTCATTTCAAAACATCATCAATATGTTCCTTCAAAATCGGTAAAAGAATTTGCAAAGAAGTGTATCACTTCATACTTTTCGGACGCTGATCTCTTATGTCTTTTAAATTTCATCATTCAAATTGTTGAATAGGAATGGATCAGTCTTGGTAAGACCGGGTAATGGGACCGGTCAATGGGACCAGTCTAAGGACCGGTCCTTTATTATTTATAGCATATTATTGTAAATTAAGGTTAATTTTATTTATAAAATATTACAAAATTAGAGTTGGATCGACCCGGTTTTCATCTCTCTTATGGAACTGTCCGGTCCATAAGTCAGTTCCCCTAATATTTTACAGTAACGATAATGTCCGAAATGAAAATATCGGAAATGGAGAAATAACGAGATTAAGAAGGCGAGGTAATCGTTTCGTGTGCAATTATTTTATTAATATACTATTTATTTATTAAATTTATAAAATTATTTTATTAAATTGATCATTATATATGTATATTTTTTCTAATATGTTCTAAACCGATCCTTGCACCAGTCTTTTAAATCGGTTTGTTTCGAGAAGAAAAGAAATTTGGACTAGACTGGTAGGACCGAATGGTACAAGACCGGTCTTTTTTGACCGGACCGATCCAACCCTATTCACGAACCGATCTGATCAGAGCTTGTTTAATGGAGATTACGAATTAAACCCATCGTTCTTTTCAAGTCTTTCAAAGAAGTGAGAAATCACAACGCGCATGGGATTACAAAACCAGAGGATGATGACAAACTACGAAGATTGTCAACTCTAGCATTAGAAGTAACTGTGTGCCTTAGTAAGTTTTATAATACAAATATGGATGTTATTCTTAAAAGTAATTAAGTATTTACTTACTAAGGGCAATTTATTTTATGTTTATTAATTGAGATGATGAGAAGCATCCGAGCCATTAGCAGAAATAAAGGAGTTGAACTTTGAACTTGCGGAACATTTAATTTTGACGACAAAGAGGAAAGATGAGGAGGATGGGGAGCTGTCAGACTTTGCACTAGACATTATTGATAGATTTGATTCATCGATAGAGTTAAAGCAAATTATGCTTTAGCTTTAGAGAAAAATGATACATTTATGAGCATAAGGAAAAACTTAGTAACCCAGAAGAATGAAAGCACAAAAACTATGAAATTCATTTCAGATATTATCTCTTGGATGCTTGATCACGATTACTAATTTTACTCTCAAAACAGGTTGATATCTTTTTTTTTTAATATTTTATTTACTTGGGCATTCGAATACGGGTACTAGTGCTATAGAAATAGCTAGCAAAAAAAAGAAAGTAAGTCGAAATGGAAAGCAATGAAGTTGATGAGCACTTCAAAAGATTTATGAAAATTTGGAAAAGCTAGATTGTAACATTCAATTTATAAAAAATAATATGGATTCTTTCCAGAGAACATTGCCAGAAAGAACAACTCAAATGAGGTACCTTTACATCTGATCACATATTAGATGTTTGGTAAGTTTTGGTAATTATACAAATTTTTGTATTAAACAACTTCTTTCAGAGAAACACAAGCTTTAGCAACGAATGAAGCTGAAATGAAAAAAAATAAACCCATTTGAAAAGGCATGAAGGGTGTCCTAATAAAGACACCAAACGAGTTTGAGAGGAGAACTTGGTTTCTACGCTATGGATTGGATTCGGTGTTTGTCCAATTGGACTAACTGGACTTATTTACAGTTTCGGGTTACTCAATAGGTGTATCTTTCCTTCAAATAAAGTTGATTGCAAAATTATAGAGCATCCACATTGTAAAAAAATTTTATTGGAAAAAAACAAAATATAATAACTAATAAATACACGAGTTTAATATCAAGCGAAAACATTCTTTATTATGTAATATGAATACATGAAAAACGAGGCTCCTCATATGCATAGCTACCACCTTCAGATGGTTAAGCTGATACCTTTGAAACAATCGAATTTATTGCCTTAGATCAAATTTGATATCGATATAATTGGTTAATTTTTTTGTCCAATTTAGATCGTGTTTTGATTTTTTTTTTTTTTGTATTAAAAAATGACGGATCATTTAGAAATTGATAATTTATACATTGGATTCGATTTATCAACTCAACAATTGAAACTCTCAGTTATTGACGATAATTATAAACTTTTCTTTGAAGAAACTGTTCATTTTGATAAGGAATTATCACATTATGGGTATATTCATCTATAAAAATCAATTAAAAAATTTTATCAATTTTTAATTTATCGATTTTTATTTAAAACTTAGAACTCGTAACGGCGTTGTCTTGAAGGGAGAGACCGTGACATGTCCAACATTATTGTGGGTAGAATCATTAGATAAACTTCTTGAAAAGCTCAAAACTATTAAATTTCCGTTTCATAAAGTTCGAGTGATATCTGGAGCTGCTCAAGTAAGTTATTATCTACAAGTTACGTGTTTTTTTTTTTGTTTTTTGTACATATTCAATGATTTCATTAATTGTATTATAAAGTAGCAACATGGAAGCATCTATTGGTCACATAACGCCTTGTCGTTATTATCCTCACTCGACTCTTCTCGACCTTTAGTACATCAATTAACAAACGCGTTTTCGATTCTACAATCCCCAACTTGGCAAGATTCAAGTACATCAGAACAATGTAGCGAATTAGAAAAGTTAATAGGTGGAGCAGAAGTGTTAGTAAATTTAACGGGATCAAAAGCATATGAAAGGTTTACCGGGAATCAAATTTCAAAGGTAATTTTGTAATTATACTTTTTTTTCTTTCTTTCATTTGTAAACATATTAAATCAATTGGTTTATTTAAATATATTCCAAGATTTGTAAGACAGATCCAACCGCATTTTCTCAAACCTCACGAATTTCTTTAGTTAGTTCATTTCTCGCAAGTTTATTTCTCGGTCATTATGCGCCTATTGACATTTCAGATGGTTCAGGAATGAATTTATTAAATATTCATACTAAACGATGGGAAGATAAGTTATTAGATATATGTAGTGATGGTGCTGGAAGTGAATTAAAAGAAAAACTTGGTGAACCTGAAATCGATGGAATAAAAATTTTAGGGAACGTGAACGAATATTTTGTCAAGAGATATGGATTCAATAAAGGTAAAAGGATTCATTTGGTTTGACGCTAATTTTATTTAGAATAACCTTCATTTAATTTTAATAAATATCTTTAGATTGTAAAATTATTCCATTTACTGGTGACAATCCTGCTACAATAATATCTCTTAGTGTTAAACCCGGGGATGTTATAATCTCCCTTGGAACTTCGGATACGGTACTACTTTATACTTGTAAACCATTTCCGACATTAGATTCTCATACATTATGTCATCCATTTATACCGAATTCCTACCTTTCAATGTTATGCCGTAAAAATGGAAGTTTAACACGTGAATATATACGTGATATTTATGCTAAAGATGAAGATAACGAGTTATGGAATACATTTAACAATATCTTAAATACGACTAAACCTATGAAATCAAAGATAGGATTTTATTTTCTTTTACAAGAAATCATTCCGTTTGCGAAAGGAATCTTTAGATTTGATAATAACAAACTAGTAGAAGAATTTGAAGATAATCCAAATTACAACGTAAGAGCTATTATTGAATCACAATTTCTTTCAATGAAATTAAGAATCAATAAATTATTAAGAAATGATAAAGAAAAGATCGAAAGATTAATCGTTGTAGGAGGTGCAAGTAATAATGATGAAATATTAAAAATTTTAGCAGACGTTTTTGGAACTAAAGTTTGGAAAAGTCAAATCGAAGGGAAAGGAGGAATTTCAGCTTCTATGGGATCTGCTATAAAAGCTAGATTGGCTCTTTTGAAACAAGAGATTAAAAGTATAAATTATTATGAAATCGAAGAAAATTATTCACTTGCAGCTAACCCTAACTTGAATAATACAAAGATTTATGAAGATATGGCTGAAAATTATCAAGAAATGGAAAAGTTGGTGATTGAATAAATAAGTGCTCATCTTTTTTTTTTTTTTTTTATATATATATATATATAAAGTACATTTAAATTTTTATCTTATTACACAAAATTAAAATATCTTTTTATGATTCGCTAAATTGTTCTCAGCGAAGCAAATAAATAAACAAACTCTACAACCGTTATATTGTTTAAAATTTATCCAATATATATATGATATCAAATATTAATATAAGAGATAAATCAAATTTAATTGAAACCCCATACTTCAAACCCCATGCATTCAAATTCAGGAGAGGAAGACAAGATGTCATTCTCAAAAGTGTCACATCTCGCTGAGGATCCTCTTTCCAAATCTGAATCCATCCATAAACCAACCCTTCCGTCACTGAAAAAAAAAATAAAATATTTTTTGTCAAGTTATAGAAAGAAATTTCAGTAAAAATCATTGTTTTATGCTTACCCTCCACCAATTGCCAAATAATCATGCTCGCTCAATATCATGTATTCATTTCTTCCGGTCCATAAATAAGAATTGATTTTTGGTGGAAATGTATCCCTTTCTTTTGGAAGTAAATATTTCCACAGGAAACTAAAAGATTATCAAGAAAATGTAAAATAATTTCACATTTGGGAAAGAACGCGAAATATTTATTACCATTCTCCAGTTCCATAATAAGAAGGACGCGGTTTTAGCGATTCGCTAACAAACGCACCAAAAACCTACATAACAATTAAAAAGTTATCGAAAAATCTTTTAAAAAAAAAAAGGGATTTTATTTACCAACCTGTTCATTCATATCTTTGATTGCCACTATTAAAGGTCCTTTATCTTTTACTTTATGATACATAGTAGTCATACTTGTACCATCCTGATCAAGGCTATATAATAAATTCCACGTTGGAGACAATCGTACACGTCTTGGAAGTTGTTGACGTATCTAAGATTTTAGTACATTAAGTAATAATCGATTTATTGGAAATCATTAAAAAACATTTTCTTAATTAATATACTTGTTCAGCCATATCGATATTTAGAACAGGCTCGGTATCTGATTTTCTACCACGAAGTTCAATAGGAGCCATCAAAATTTTTTTTGGTTCCGGAACTGTTATTTCTTCTTCTCGTGACTTAGAAGGGTTGTTATTTATATTCGTGTTTTGATCTAAATTACCTAAGAAAATGCTGGTAATACTTGCAGGAACTTTCTTAGATTGTAAACCTTTAAATTTTGTTGTTAATAAATTAATTGAACTATTGTCTTTTTTAGGGACCATAGTAGGTACGGCTCGCAAAGAAAACCTTTTGGATCGCCAAGAGAACGAACCAAATTTATAAATAAAAGCCGAGGTAAAACTAAAATAATCTTCCTCGGGTGGTGAGAAACTGTTACATAGAACAGGAGAATTATTCAGTGAAATGGTATAATTTTCTCTACCAACCAAGTCCCAAAAGAGAGTAGTAGAGCTTTTATCGTAAAAAGACTCCGTGGTATTTCTCCTATTGATTTTTAGGCGATCTTTTAACGTAGTCTCTTGAGTAGTATAACTAGCAGACTGAGCTCTACGATAATTTGGTTTTTGATTATTTTTCAAATCAATCAAAGATGCTGTCGAAGATGATGATGGTAAGGTTTTTTTTGATTTATATAAATTATCAGACATTGCTAGACATTGTTTTAAATTTAGGATACTTAAAAATTTAAATACTATTTATTTCTATTATTATTATTCTAAACTTAACTTAATTTTACTTCAAAAACATTTAAATTCCCACGATATGATAATCAAAACGTAGGACTTTTTTCTTGGCTACCTAATTAGGATTTCTCATTATGCCAATCGTACGGCGCAGCTTCGCTTATAAATACAGTATATGAATTTAGATCTTAAAGAAATCCTAATCTATTGCTTAATTAAAGATTTTTTGTTTTTCTTAAAAAACATAAAATAAATTTGATATAAATAATTCAGATATTATAAATTAGATATACTGGATTTAATTAAAAATATAAACTTAATAATATAAATAATATAATAAAAATACAATTTTTAAATATAATTATAATAATGTAAAATAATTATATAAGATAATTATTACCCAATTTTACAAAAGTAAAATAAAAAATTAGCTAATTAAAACTTTTAATTTATAAAATCAATAATAAAACAATTTAAAATATTAATATATAATACATATTCTTAGATTATTATTATATTTATCATATAAAAATATTTCTTATTTGTAGTTATCATATAAATTATTTTTATTTTTTTGCATTTATTATTTATATTTTATATTTACTATATTAAGTTATTTTATTTTATTTTATTATATTTGTGTTTATAATAATTTTATATTATTTAATTTAAAAATTGAATTATATAAAAATTAAGAATAAAGTAATATAATTTAATTAAATTTTACTATTAATAAACTATTAATATTTTGTTTCACTTATAATTTATTTTATTTATTTAGTATTCTAAAACTAGTTTACAATCTTCAGTTTCAATCCATTTTATTTAGTAATCAGTTTTAAAAAAAATTTAAAAAATCTGATAATCAGTTTTCAATAAAAATCAGTTTTAAAACTCAAAATTTCAAACAGAATTATATATAAAATTAGTTTAAGGATTTAATTTTTAAACTTAAATATTTATTTAAAATAAAAAAGTATATTATAATATATTTAAATTAATTTTTTATATTAAATTTGTGAATCGTAATACAATAAATATAAAGTAAATCAATATCATTTTATTCTTTGTTCAATTTTCATTTCAAAAAATAGATAAAACTAATAATAAACGTAAAAGAAAAATTCAAGTATTATTTGGAACTACTATTTTGAGAAGTATAATGAAGAGAAAAAATAGTTATATCTTGTTTGTTAGGTGTGCAAAAATAAAAGTATTATAAAACGTTATAAGTGTACAAAAGATGTTTCAACTACTACTACTTAAAGATATCTTTAAAGAGATTATAGAATTGATAAAAATCATCCAGAAGAGCTATTTAATATAGATAGTAATATTAGAACAGTAATTAAATATATTACTATAAAGTGTCAATTATCTTTAAAATAGTCTTTTATAATTTTTATTATTGTTGATTGTCAACTATTAAATATCCTTCAAAATGATGCATTTTGAAATATACTTCACGAATTTGAATCAGGATTTAGAATACCAACTAAAGAAAAAGCAAAGAAATGATATGTAATAGTTATAATTGGACAAAAGAAAATTTTAAGGAATTATTAAAATTTAATGCAAATAGCATTAATATTATAACAGATCTTTAGACTTATCATCAAAATAATGGCTATATTAATATAACAATTTTATGGTTAGACTAAGAAATAAAATTACATAAAGCATTGATTAGTATAAAATTATTACCCAATTCACATACATCTGAAAATATTAAAAATTGCTTAAATAATATTCTTGAAAATTGAAATTTAAAAGATAAGTATTTTGCAGCTACAATAGACAATGACCTAAATATTAAAAATGCAATTTTTTTAATGAATAATGTTAAAAATATAGGCTATGCTGCACATATATTACATCTTACTATTATAAAAAATTTAGTATTAATAAAGCAATTTATTAAAAAAATTAATAACCTTATTCTTTTTTTTTGCTTTAAGTTCAAAATAAATAAAATGATTAAAAGAAGTACAAGAAAATTGAGAATATCTAAAAATACTTAAAATAATGTAAAATGTACATACAAGATAGGATAGTTTATATCTTACATAGACAAGATTATTAGAATTAAAGGTTACTATAAAATAGCTTAAAAATACATTACATTTAGCTTATGCAAAAGATGATAAAGATGATAGTGATTATTTAAAATTAATATTATTTATGAAGTTAGAGTAAATGTAAGTATTAATAATTATTTGTCAAAAAATATTAATTAAAACTTATTTTAACAAAATAATATTTAATTTTTAAGTTATTATAAGATTTAGTAAATATTTTAAAACTATTTTTAGATGCTACAAACTTTTTATTTAATTCAAAATACTCTACCTTAAATTTTGTATATCTAATAATATATTACTTAATAAACAAGTTTGCTTCTAAAAATGAAAAATCTGAAAATAACTTATTTGATTTAATTTACGGTCTTATACAAATTAATAAAATTGAATATGAAGATAATAGAAGTAATTGCAAAATATAAAATTTTATTACTTATAATTTTAACTGTATTGTAAATATTAATTTTTAAAATTTATTTATTATAATTAAGGTATTATTACAAACGAAATTAGTATTGAAGGAAATGAAACAGATTCAGATTATGAATTATTACAAAATTCTATAATTAAACTAAGGCTTGTTAAAATTTCATTAAAAGGTTTAAGAGAAAGAGAGAGAGAATGAAGAAGAGAATATGAAAGAATAAGAATTAGTAATACAGAAAGTAGATGAAAAATAAATGAAGATTCTAGATTTCAAAATTGATGACTTATTGAAAATTCAGTTATTATCATAGGCCTTTTAAAAAAAGTGCAAGCTTCTATTTATTTATATAGTATGGGACAAAAAAAACCAGAATTTTTTAAATACATATTATGCAAAAACTAAATGACACTAACTAAATAAAATTTATATATATTTGAAGCTAAAAACTAGCTAATTTTATTAATATTTTTTTTAGAACGGAATTCGTTCACAATTATTTTCTATAATAAGTTCACATCGGCATTTCATTGATCCTACTAACCCAATTAGGGTTGATTCTGGAATATTGTCTCATTCTTTGATCATATATCGGCGCAAATCATCAGTATTCTTTGGCATTTTCTTCTCCACATTTCTTTTAACAATACTCTAAAGGTTTTCTATCAGATTTAGGTTCGGACTGTTAGAAGGCTAGTCAATAACTTCAGGAAAATTTTCCCAAAGAAATTTTTTAACATGATTGCTGGTGTGTTTCAGATCATTGTTTTACTAAAAACGCTATTCATCTCCCAACAAGTCTTCAATCTCTAGAAGGTGGCTACAAAGTATATTTACATAAAATTTAGCATTCATTATTTGAGAAAAACAATATAAACTTATTTTTCTTTTTACACAAAATCCTCTCCATGCAAAGATTTTCGTTTGATCTTTAGGCATAAGGTGTATTGGTCGTTGTCCTTTATGCCAGCGCTCTACAGTATTCTAGAATAGTTAGAAGGCAGTCTCATCTGAAAACAAAGTTTTGTCTCAATTATCATTAAGATGATTTTGGACTTATTCTACCCATTTACATTTATGGTCTGCAGTCAGCATCAGCATTGCTCTTAGAAGGTCTTTTTGGTATTCAATTTCGGCTAAATGCCTTCCTACTGTCCTATATGACACATCCACACCTTTCAATGACAACCTTGTTGACAGAGTCCTTGTTAAAATAGAAGAATCCTGGCAGACAAATTGGGCTAATGCTCTTGATGCATTAGCCGTAATCTTTTTTGGGTGACCACTTCCTTCTACACGCTGAATCGTCTCAGACTCACGAAGCTTAGTAAGGTTGTCATATACAGTCATGAGAGAAATTCCAGTGCATTGATGGATTTCTCTAGCCTTCTGAATACCCTGATTCCATAATTGTAAGATCGCTTGACGGTTAGTTTCTTGTCTGG